TCATCTAAGTTTCCTCCTAATCACATTCCAAAACCTGCCTTCCTGTAGATCTACTTACTGCTAAGATCTTTTTAGACAAGTCACAGCTCTGACTGAATGGGTTAGGGAAAGAAGCATTTCTTAGATTCCTTAATAAGATTCAGAGATTTATACATCTGCTGGTATATTGATGCTGCAGTGGCTAGGGAGAAAATTAAACTTGACTCTGTTTCATACTTTTTTTTTTTTTTTTTTTCTTTTTAAAGAGAGGGAGAGGGAGATTCCTAAGCAGTCTCCACACGGGGTATGGAGCCTGACGCGGGGTCCAGTCCCACGACCCTGAGATCGTGACCTGAGCCAAAACCAAGAGTCGGACACTTAACTGACTGAGCCACCCAGGCGTCCCTGGTTTCATACTCTTAACGTATAATTCCTACTTTCTTGTTTTGTTTCTCTTTCCCTTTCCTATTTTTTAAGGATTTTATTTATTTATTTGAGCAAGAGAGAGAGAGAATGAGTGGGAGATGGGGAGGGGCAGAGGGTGAGGGAGAAGGAGACTCCCCACTGAGCAGGGAGTCTGAAGCGGGACTCAATCCCAGGACCCTGGGGTCATGACTGGAGCCAAAGGCAGCTGCATAACCAACTGAGCCACCCAGGGTGCCCCTCCCTTTTCTTTCTTTCTTCCTTTCTTTTTTTTTTTTTTTTTTTAAAAAATTTTTTTTTTTTTTTTTTGACAGAGACCACAAGTAGGCAGAGAGGCAGGCAGGGCCGGGGGTGGGGGGCGGGGGGGGAAGCAGGCTCCCTGCTGAGCAGAGGTTGTAGGGCTCAATCCCAGGACCCTGAGATCATGACCTGAGCCGAAGGCAGAGGCTTAACCCATTGAGCCACCCAGGCGCCTGCTCCTTTTTCTATCTTTAAAGATAGTTCTCCCCTCCTACAAATAATCATCCACCTACTCTAAGTTAGAGATTGAGTGTTCTCATAACCGGCCGTGAGTCAGTGACAGCTTTTTACTCTTGTTGTAAATAGAAACATAAATTCTGTTCCTGCATGCACTTCATAGGCTGCCTCCCCAGCATTTTCCTCCACAGCCAAGGAATGTGCAAGGCTTCTGAGTCAGCAGTCAGCTGCCACGGGACAAAACATGCAGGATATTGTCCACTTGCAGAAATTGCACCAGTGCCCTGGAAACCTGGCATCATCTCCTCTTCCTCTTCCCTCCTCAGACTCCTCACTTCCCCTTTCCCTTCCTTCTACACCTTGGCTTTTCAGTCCCCAGGATTTCTGGCCCCCTCTGGCCAGGTTTCCTGGTCTTTAGGTTCCTGTAATTACGAATACAGAATTTTCCCAGGATACTAGGATGTTTGGCACACAGGGATGGTCCAGGAGAGGCCAGGAGAAGCAGGATCTGAGTTGACCTTCAGGAATGAGGGAAATGAGGGCAACAACAGGAATGGCCCTTTTGCAGTTCTCCCCAGCTACTCTCAGAATAAATCAGAATGCCAGATTCCCCTTGCTAAATGACACAGTCCCAGTCCAACAGAGGTACAGAGTAATGCTGTAGCACTTGAGAGTATCTTCCTGCTGTGGTCATTTGGCTTGCAAAGTAGGAAAAGTGAGGCAACCCAGGGGAATTAATCTTGTGTACTCTTACCTTGGGTGCTTGTCACATTGTTCCAGGAACCAACTTAACCTCTATTTATCTGTTGTCATTAGTGACCTGCAGGTCGAAATCCCTTAGACTGTGCATTTAATACTTGACTGCTGCTTGTGAGCAGACTGTCTGCAGCTGTCTGGGAGCTGTGGCTGAAACCCGAAAGTCAGCAGAAGGATTGAGGGCCAGTTATTAATGAAGGTGTTCATCTAGGGTGGGGGTTGATTTGGAAACTCTCTGTGGTGGTTAGTAGCTCTATGGAAGTGAATATTTCAAACAGAGTGGGCGACAGCCAACCAAGGAGGTATTAGTGTACAAAGCAGAATTTTTCTTTGAAAATAAATGCCCAAGACACTTTAGGGAGTTGTAAGCTTAAAACAGGCATTATGACAGAGGAAAGGCTTTTAGAAATAATGTTGCAGGATTTTTTAAAAGATTTTATTTATTTGAGTGGGAGAGAAAGAGCGCCTGCATGCATGCAAGCGAGGGGGTGGGGGCAGTGGGAGAGGAAGAGAATCTCCAGCAACTCCACACTTAACGTGGAGCCAAACTCGGGACTTGATCTCAGGTCCCTGGGATCATGACCCAAGCCAAACCAAGAGACAGATGCTTAACCAACTGAGCCACCCAGGTGCCCCAGTTGCAGGATTTTTAATGTTTTGGTTTCAGCAAGAACATCCTGGTACTGAGTGCTCCAGATGCTGGCAAGGAGTGGAAGGTGACTGCTTTTTAGGAACAAAAAGAAATCATTTTCTTCTTTGACAAGAGGCAGAGTGATCAGACCAGGTGTTTTCAAAGCTTTCCAAACGTTATGACTCTGGTGGAGTCAAAGTTGACTATGAACAGAGGTCGGGCATGCAGGGTCAGGATTGCAAAATGCTGTCTGTTTGCCAAAAATGCAAATAAAGCCACAGAAATCTACACAAGGAAGGCAAGAGGCAGTCACTCTGGGACCTTTGTTTCCAGTCATCAGTTGTTACCTGTTACCCTTCTGCCTTTGGATAGACACGCTTTTTTTTCTGCTCTTGCAAGATCTCTTTTTATTACGTACCAATTCTAAGATAAGCTTTGGCATGTAAGAAAAAGAATGGGCTCTTTTTAGGAATTTTAAAATACTTTTCTTGCCACATATTGTTTCCTGGAATAAACTTTTATTTAGGAGGATCTGGAGGTTAGTTGCAGTTAATTCTGTTTCTTGATGGACTCTTGGCCAAGTGGCTATTGAGACAAGCTGTGTTTTGTAGCAGTGTAGTTTTCCTATCTAGAGCCAGGAGAGGTTGTTGAGTAAGTATATATCTGAGATGAGAAGTCAAGTCGGTGTGTTCTGGGTGAAGAGTGCCGGGTCTGCTGACATAAAGGGAGAATGTCTGTTCTCAGTGGATAGCTATTGCTTTCTCCCGCGAAGCTTAAGACAGGTCTCCTATTGATGCGATTTAGCCTTATAATATCATGGTAAGGAATAGAGAGACGAAGAATGTTATTTCTTCACAAAGGGGGATTCTGTTGCACAGACGCTTACCCAATGTAAGAGCTTCGGGACAGAACATGGTCTCATCCATGTCCAGAGCTTGGTGCCTTCTTCTGACGGTTGATTTCTTCAGCACATACAGTTTGATGGTTCCCAGTACTCTTGGGGGTTGCTTCTCTAAAAACTGAGTGAGTCACTTCTTACCTCTGTACCCCTCCTGACCACAGTGGATCAACACCCCCCATCTCCCCCCATCTCCAAGAGAAAGTCTTCTTTAAAGCAAAGTTTCAGTGCAGCCCTGTTTGTCACACTAGTAGCAAGTGTGACACTAGTGTGACACACTAGTGTGCCTATGATGGAGCTAGCTCAGACTAGAACACCGAGAGTGAGCGCTGTGACCATGAGGATTTTCTTAGTACTAAATTCGGAGAACTTCAGAATTGAAAGAAGAGTTTAGGGACCATCCAGTGTAGCCCCCTCATCTTACACCAGGGAAAATCAAGACCTGGTAAGGCAAAGTAACTTGCCCAAGGTCATGCAACCAGTATCTGGCACAGGGGGCTCAGAGCTATATTAGTGCTCATCTCCTTGCTCTCACCTGCTTCTCTGTTCTTACTGTGCCTTAGTTTTCGCTCTTGGCCCTTTGCCTCCCACCTCCCAGTAGGAGTTCTAAGTTGTGATGATACATGCATGAAACGTGGTACAAAAATGATGAAACAGACTCCAGGGAGTGAGTGCATTAAAGGAGCATGTAAAGTGCCTTCTCCCATCTTAAAGCTTCTGTCCAGCAAACATAGGGTGGTTGATGTGTAGATGTTTTTAATAAGTGGAAAGTGTAGACATTATCATTACTTTCAGATATGTTTGTGGGCAAAATGAAATGGCTATAAAGTCTTCCCACCCTGCTGTGTACCACACGCAGGGGCAGGACTTTTTCAGTCCTTTAAAACCCTATTGACTTGGCAGCCTCTGAACTTTGTGCTTCTTAGACTGATGTGACACTGCCCTTTGCTTCTCCTCAGACCTCTCTCCACTGTGCTTCACAATCTTGTTAGAGAGCTCCTCTTTCTCTACCAATTGCTTACAAGTTGACAAGTCCCAGATCTCACCCAGGGCCCATGGCTCTCTCTTCCCATGGGCTGTCCTTGTGTGATTGTACCACTTTTGAAGATGCAACTACCATCTGTATGCAATGACTCCTGAATCTGGGCCTGGGTTCCCGGCTACTCCCCCGAGCTTCAAATACTTCCTAGCAAGTACCTCTCTTAAGGCAGTTCAGACATAATAAGCCAAAGGGTACTCACTACTCTCCCCTCACAAATGAGTTCTTCTATTTTCTTCTATTTTTAATTCATTGGCCTGGTGTCATTATTTACTCTGTGGCCTAAGCTAGAAACCCAAAAATCATTCTTGAGTCTTTCATCTGTAAAAGTCACTCACTCACAAGCCTTCCTACTTTATTTCTTTCCCTACCTTCCACACTTCTTCCCTGCCTGGCTAACACTGACTTACCCTGAAAGATTCAGCTTTCACCTTTCAGAGGTTCATCTTCAACGAGCACCCACTACAATTAGGTATTCATCATCTTCGTTCCGAAATCCCTTACACCTCTGTCTCTCTAATGACACTTAGCAAAGTACGTTTAACATTCTATTTATGAGTCTGTCTCACCCACTAAGCTGTAAGACCCTTGAAAGCAACATTGTCTTACTCATCTTTCCATCCCTAGTGTCACAGATAGTGCCTGGAATTCAGAAGGTATAGGATATGCATTTGTTGAATAAATTAATGTGATACTTCAGAAGTTCATCTGAGAAGGAGTTACGTCTCCTAAAAAATGTTTATAGGTAGAAATTTGGATTTGCTAACGATTCCTTTTTCTTAATTTATTTTTGTTAGATTAATGTGACAGAATCAAGTGGATCAACAGTCATCCCACTGCCCCCTTTGTTGGGGGGTGCTGAGAGTGGGGAAGCATGGAGGACAGTAAGAACGAGACGATGAATCGCGCTCACGTCCTCTTTGACCGCTTTGTGCAGGCCACCACCTGCAAGGGGACCCTCAAGGCCTTCCAAGAGCTCTGTGACCACCTAGAACTGAAGCCTAAGGACTACCGCTCCTTTTATCACAAGCTCAAGTCCAAGCTTAACTACTGGAAAGCCAAAGCGCTGTGGGCAAAGTTGGACAAGCGGGGCAGCCACAAAGACTACAAAAAGGGAAAAGCGTGCACTAACACCAAGGTAAGGGTTCGGTTTCTCCCAGGCCTTGGGGTCACTGACCTAAGGATTTAGCCACAAGAGAAAAGATTGTGAGGACAAGTAGGCCAAAGAAAGGGATTGAGTAGTGGTAGACCGGGTGAGAACTAGACAGTCTAGCAGAGACTTAGTACAGAAAGTCAGACTCTGTGAGTCTATTACCTGTGTTCAGTTGACTGTTCCATATCCCAGACCCTGTTCTTATTTCATGTATTCCCATTGAACAGAGTTTTAGCTATTTAAGTACAACCCTGAAGTCAAGTGATTTAGGAACTTTTTCCCCCGCTGAGAGCTCTGTTTTGAATTTCACACTATTAGGAGGATGCAGGTTGCTTAGCAAAGAAGAAGCCATGCCATGTTAGCATCCTGTCTGAACATGGCTTCGTGGTGCCTGGCATGTCATCTTTATAAAGTCGTCATTCCATACCCAGTGACTAATAAGGTCTAGATAGTATTTGCTAACTTGGGGATCTGCCACAATCTTCAGACCTCTTTTCATCTGTATTCCAATGGTTTGTTTTGATAAACAAGGGCTTTGTGAGCCAAAATATTTCTTTTGCTTTCTTCATGATCTAGGGAAATAGAGTTTTCATGAAATAGGTGAGGTATTCAGTCACCTGTGCAGGTGGTAGGAACAGGGAAGTGAGAAGGGACAGTCTATTTCCTGCTTTCCTCCTTATGTGAAAACACCTTCTTGTGAGAAAGTTTTTTGGAAAAAACTAGCAGAGAAACAAAATTGCAAACGACTTCATGACTAGATTATTAATGTCCTTTCATGAGCTTTAATTTGCCCTGTGTGGAGACCTAGAGACCCTTCCCCCACGGGTTTGCCTCTGGTAGATACTCATCAGCAAAATTCAAGAAATTCAGAGAGGCATGACTGAGTGCAGTGTTTTATTAAGAATAATACAGGGGCGCCTGGGTGGGTGGCTCAGTGGGTTAAGGACTCTGCCTTCGGCTCAGGTCATGATCCCAGGGTCCTGGGATCGAGCCCCACATCGGGCTCTCTGCTCAGCAGGGAGCCTGCTTCCCCCTCTCTCTGTCTCTGCCTGCCTCTCTGCCTACTTATGATCTCTGTCTGTGAAATAAATAAATAAAATCTTAAAAAAAAAAAGAATAATACAAATTAGTTAAGTGTCCGTTCTCACCTTGAGTACTTCTCTAGAATATGGGTTTTTAACATCATTTCCCTGGATTTTCAGTCCTAAGATGGTGATTTTAGAACTCTTTTTAACACATAAAACTTGGGCCCTTGGAAGTTACCTTCTGGGAATCCTTGAGTGGTAGATTCATTTCAGGACTCTGAACTATGTATTTAATAATCTGTGTCTCCTTGGACAGAAATCTGCTTGACTTCGAAACCTTTCAGAAGGTTCTCTCCTGTTAATAAAAGGTGACATGTGATTTTCGAGTCATTCGTTGAAATGACCACTTCAGTATATTGCAGACCTACAAGGTGAACCCGTGCTGGGTTTATGTGAAGCACTAACAGTTAACAGTCTCCTCTGTCCATAACAATCACCGGCTTTCCTCTCAAGCCACTGCAGATGCTCTCCTGTGACCCAGACAGGTCTGAAGATTTCTTAGGAGAATAGCCTAACTTGGAGGCTTTAGGGAATGATGGTTATCAGATCATGAAACTGTTACAGAAATGTGAGCTTTCCTAAGAGGTGCTGCCTTTGCCCTGAAAGCAGATGTGTTTTTCAGTGTCTCATCATTGGAGCTGGGCCCTGTGGTCTCCGTACAGCCATTGACTTATCCTTATTGGGAGCTAAAGTGGTCGTTATTGAGAAACGAGATGCCTTCTCCCGCAACAATGTCTTGCATCTCTGGCCATTCACCATACATGATCTGCGAGGTCTGGGTGCCAAGAAGTTCTATGGCAAGTTCTGTGCTGGAGCTATCGACCATATCAGTAAGTAAAACCAATCCTCCTGCAGGATCCCATGCCTGCCCCTTACCCACTTGTTCAATAGAAAGAGATAGATTATTTGAGGAATTCATACTCAATAGCCCAATTTGTTTTGGTATCATTAACGTCCACTGTGCTTGGAGTCAAAATACCTGTGATGCGGTGGTTTATAACCTAGGACTCTTACCTGCAGTGCAAGTGTTATCTCCTGTGACATGAATTTAACTTAAGGATTTCTAAAGTTGGGTCTTGAACGCTTCCTGAGCACTTGGAGTGGGTGGGATGGGCATTGGGCCAGCCTAGGAAACACTACCAGTTTGAGCCTTAACCCTCTGGTGATTCTTAAGCCAGTGGAAAAAGCACAAAGCATGAAGCTCTCTCTAATGTGATATGATAGATACTCTATTGACGTAAGGACAAAATGCTGCGGCGTCAGTACTGGGGAAACCACAGTTTTAGAAGCAGCCTCCTAGTTTAGTCACCAATGGCAAATCAGTAACGAGATTCATTTGGTTAGGTGATTCTCGTGAGGTCTACAGCGTGGATAACTCTGGCTGAAATTTTGTCATCTCCAAGCTCAGCTTGGGCCTGTGCTTCTCTAAAATCCTATAGAGTAGATACAGGTCAGTGCAGACAGTGGTTTTCTCTCCATGACTGTCAAGTGGCGTGTCTGAAAGGTGATTCAGGATAGACAATGTCCACATTATGAAGTTTTGAGTCTTGTTTATTGATCATCGTTAATGATTCCAGGAGATTCTTATCAAGGAACTTTTGTTCTAAGCTCCTCCAGATATGTCCTGCAAATACATCAAACTGTTGGACTGTTTGCTCTTCGTAGTGGTTGTGCCAGTTCACCAAACATTGGCCGGCAGCTGCCATAGTCCATTGGCAGAGGAAGCACTCTGCCCATCTGTTTTGCTATAATATGTAAAGCATCTTGGAATCTAGTTGTCTGCAAATATTAAATGTGTACTAGAAGGAGATTTAATGAGCCTTTAGGAGTGTGACTTAGAGGGTGATGGTTGTGATAAGCTGGGGGAAAAAACCAAGATGACTTAGATGAGGACCTGCACGCACCACATTAGTCAGAGGCTGCAGGTGAGATTGGTCTTAAGAGAGGACCAAGGTCATTTGATTTGTCTGGATTTGTGTGCCTTATGTGGAATTTGTTTCGGAGCTAAGATAGTCCTACATTGGGGACTAGATTTTTATCTCAGTAGGCCTGGGGCTGCTACTGTGTCTGACACTTGGTGGTCACTCATTAGACACAGAATAAATAAATCTCACTGTGATAAGGAGCAAGATTTTCACTCATTTTGAGCCTCAGTTTCTGTGCCTGTAAACCAGTGGTGGGAGAGGGAATGGTAAAAGACTAAGGTTGGATGAAGGTTTCCCCTTCTCACTTTATAAGAGTGTATTAGATCAGGATGAAAGGGAGATGTGGGAATCTCAGGAAGTAGTGCAGCCCTTTTGTATCAAACTGGAAAACCCACTGCAGGGCGCACACCTTTTGCCTTCTATGGTAAATCCCTTGTCCTGTCAGGATTGTGGATTCCGCTAGATGACTGCGGCTCTGATGGAATCGGGGGAAGATGGAAAAGAAGGTCTCCTGTTGGCCACAATCTGTGTTGTCTCAGAGCTTTAGGTTGTTTTGAACACCCAGCCCAAAAGGTGGGCGTGGCCTTGCATGTCTTTTTAGAACATCTCGCACTGAATTGTATTTGCCCTTAAAAAAAAAAAAGAAAGAAAGAAAGAAAGAAGCTATAGACTGTGGCTTGGAAAATGTCTCCAGCTACAGGAGGCTTTGAGAATCTGGATAAACTGTGTTTGTGGGCAGGTAAGAACCCAAGCAGTAATTGCTGACTAGTACTCTCTTTTTAGTGTGCCCTCACTGGTATCATCTTTTTGTTCCTGCAGGTATCCGTCAGCTTCAACTAATACTTTTGAAAGTTGCCCTGATCCTGGGCATTGAGATCCATGTCAATGTGGAATTCCAAGGTCTTGTACAGCCTCCTGAGGACCAAGAAAATGAACGTGAGTTAGGTTGAACAAATGAAGGAAAGATAAAAGGGCATGGAGTGTATGAGAAAAAGATGAGCTCAATGGAGAAAAGTATAAGAATCTGTGGGTTGTTTTCAGAAGGAGTTAAAGAGGTTTCTTCAGTTGTACAGCCTATCTCTTTCAAGGGACTTTGGCTTAATGAGGAGGCTTTTGACATACTATTAGATGTTGCAAGCACTTGTATTCATTATAAAAAATCATGTCGTGGGGAACATTCTTTTGTGAGCCTTCTCCAAGGCTTTTTTCCCTGTGTTTTGTATCCCATGCTTTTACTCCTAGTGTTTTCAGTTTGGGGTTTTGTGCAGTTTGTATCTAGAGGTGTCTTAGGTGTATAAATATAGTCTGGGTAATGACCTTCATTTTGACTTTGGTCCACAGGGATAGGTTGGCGGGCACTGGTCCACCCCAAAACCCATCCTGTGTCAGAATATGAATTTGAAGTGATCATTGGAGGGGATGGCCGTAGGAACACCTTGGAAGGTATTGGTCAATGCTGCTTTGCCTGGTTCATAGCAGAGTGAATGGTGACCCCCCACCCACCCACCCAACCCTGCGGGGAGAGTTTGTATCATCAAAGAATCCACATTCCTTAGTATCTGCTTATGTGTGCTATCTATTCTAACTGAATGATAGACCCAGCCTTGCACTAGCCAACTGGTATTTGGGTTCTCTTCTTACGGGGCACTTTTGTTAGGGCAGTAAGAGGTAATTAATTGGTTGACACTGCAGGATTATATCTATGTTTAGTAAACTGGTGGCTTCCTTTTCTTTCTCTTCTTTTTTCTTTTCTTTTCTTTTCTTTCTTTCTTTCTTTCAGTGGAATCCATTGCACTGAGTAGTATTCTGGTCAGTTAGATTTCACATTGTTAGTGCATGGGAGACTTTGACTTCCTTCCTGAAATTCATGTATTTTTTGGCAGGTAAACACCTTATTTTCAGATAGAAAAGAATTGTCCTAAAATTTTCCCATTGATTCCCATCCCACATGTTCCCCAATGTCTTCATCAACACCTGTTCCTGTTTGAAGTGATCTTCCTTCTTCTCTAGAGAGCCTTGGTCTCCTCTGAAAATTTCTTTCCTTCCAGGATTTCGCCGGAAGGAATTTCGTGGCAAGCTGGCCATTGCCATTACAGCAAATTTTATTAACCGAAATACAACAGCAGAAGCCAAAGTGGAAGAGATCAGTGGAGTGGCTTTTATATTCAACCAAAAATTTTTCCAGGAACTGAGGGAAGCCACAGGTTGGTGTAGATGCCTCCAAAGCAATAGGGATAGAATTTAAATAACTACTTGTGATTTTTCTCTCAGAGGGTTTGGTAGAGTGGGTGGTCATGGCATTGTTGCTATTATTTGCCCCGCTGCTCGCTCTTTCTCTAGTGCTTTCCTTACCACTGTCTCCTCTTCTAGCGTTCTTTATCCTCTTTACAGTGACAGGGCTGCTCTGGGCTTAGTTTCTATTTATTTGTTTGTTTTTAAGGGGCCGTTCTGCCTTTTACCAACTCTTCTCCAACCCTTTCCACTATGCTGTGGCTCTAAGTAATGGTGCTCGATGCAGTAAGCTACTGATGGGTAGTTCTCTGGTTCTCTAGAACCTGACTTTAGATACTGAGTATACAGTCTCCTGGTGTTCCAATTTGGGCATGAAGTAAACCACGTGCTAGATAGGAATGAGATTATTGTATGATAGCTTTTGAATAACTTATTTTGCTGCTGCAAAAGTGTGCATCAGATTTCATTTCTCTGTTTTCTCGAACATGATTGCTTTCCATTATATCTGTTTTTTAGATTATTGAATTATTATTGAATTAAAATATTATTGAATTAAAAACATCAGTAGTTCACTCTCTGCTTCCAGACATCTAGTTATCTGTCCTGTTACGAGCAGAGGTGATTCTCCCAGTTGCTTTGATGACTATCAAGATATTTAACTTGAAAACTAATCCTGACCTCTTACTGGAAGTTGACCTTTCTTTTTCTTCCAGTCCTTCTATTTCTGCTTACTATTGATCATGGTTTTTAGGATAACTTAGGGTATCAAGTGAATTACAGAGCAGTGCAGGTATGAACATAGCTCCCCCTCTTCTCATGAACTGAATATGCAGGAAGTAAGAATGTGGGCTTAGACATCTTTTTATTTTCACTTTCTCTGCCTAGTGTTACAGCCTGGTCTCTGTGGACACATGTAAACGTTCTGGCTGTCCTAACGTACCTTCATTTCAGCAAGCCCACATGTGACAGATTTGCTTTCTGGTTGCAGGTATCGACTTGGAGAATATTGTCTACTACAAAGATGACACACACTATTTTGTTATGACAGCCAAAAAGCAGAGTTTGCTAGACAAAGGGGTGATACTGCATGTGAGTAATGGATTTCTTTCAAACCTCTTTTATGTTGTACAAGGTAATATGACCACTAAGAGAAAGAATTTTATTTTCTGATGAGTTTTTCCTGCAAGGGAAGGAAAATGAGCACCCAGTTCATCTCCTGGAAACATGTACTCCTCTAATGTTTTTTAGTTTAACTTCTAAAAATTCTTTTGTTATGGAGAATTTCAGATGTAAACAAAAGTAGAGAGAATCATATAGTGAACCCCCCCCCACCATGCCCACTATCTTGCTTTAACAATTGTCAACACATGGCCATTATTATTTCAGTAGTACCTCACCCCACTCCCCACTCCTGCCATTGGATTGTTCTAAAGCAAATCTCAGATCTCAGTTATTTTGGATACCCAGTTTAATTTTAGGAGATTTGGTATGTCATTATAACTAATTCTGCATATGACTGATTAGTAGTTGGTTAATAGGTTGTCTTTTGGAACAGGGTGGTAGGGGGAAGGGAGTTTGACCTGAAAGTCTGAGAATGGTTCTGGTTTTACTGCAGATATGTCTCAGAAGTCTAGGGAACACTGGCTGGATCAAGGTATATTTAGACCTCTTCGTGACCTAACAATCATGAGAGGTCTGCTTCAGCCTTTTTTCCAGGTGGATAATTGTATGACATTCCCTGAGATGATGAACAGAATATGAAATCAGAGAACCACAGGATAGGTGGTTCTTTAAGGAGAGTCTCTTAAGTCTTATATGGTGCTCAGTCTGAATCAGAATTACTATTCCCATGTGATGAGTTGGAAAGAAGAGGCACCAGATGTGCTGATTCAGGCCTCTACAGGTCTTACCATAGACTCCTGGCTAAAGTTCAGGGTGCCTTTGTCTCTGCAGCACTGAGTTATACTGTTGCCATATCTGAGAGCAGCAGTTGGGGGCAAGCCAGTGAACACGTGCCTGCTGCACAGCCTCTTCCCAGTCACAGACCTCATTTTCTGTTTCTCAGCCTTGAGTTCCTTTATGTACATGAGGAGAAACAGGACAGAGCAGTTCATGCAGCCCATTCTGCCAAAAGCATAAGCAAGATGGCAAGATGTACTTGGTTTGATGCTTTATCAGTAAGAAATAGCCAGTGAACCCGGGGGTAGGCTGTGGACTAAATTAAGACAAATTTATCATCTTAGGCAGAATAGTGGTTATTAGTTGAAATTATTGTTTTATTGTGCTTCACAGTTAGTGCTTTTTGTTTATTTATTTATTTTACAAAATTGAGGGTTTGTGGCATCCTTGCGCTGAACAAGAGAATTGGTGCAATTTTTCCAAAAGCACTTGCTCATTTCATGTTTCTGTGTTATATTTTGGTAATTCTTGACAGTACTTCAGACATTTTCATTTTTATATTTGTTATGGTGATCTGTGATCAGAGATTATAACTTGCTGAAAACTCCAATAATGGTTAGCATTTTTTAGCAATAAAGTATTTTTCAGTTAAGGTAGGTTCATTGTTTTTTTAGACATAATGCTATTGCACACTTTTTACAGCATAGTATAAATATAATTTATATTTACTGGGAAACCAAAAAAACTCATTTGACTGCAAGTTGTGACATTCACTTTATTGTGACATTCACATTGTGGTGGTCTGGAACTGAACTTGCAGTATCTCGAAGGCATACCTATATATAGGAACCGTCTAGAATGCCCAGACCTGATATACTTTTGCTTTTTGTTTATTCTTCTAGAAGGCAGGGGCCATGTTTCTGTGTGTGCTGCTAATACTAAACCGGTTGTAGTCACTTACTCAATGTTGAACAAACATGGTTTCAAGGACCAACTTGAGTATTTGTGTTTTGACTGTTAACATCTTGTAGTGGTAGCTGGAAGTACCATCAGGGACACTTGGAAACAAACCATAGGCCCCACTTTAGGAGAATAGAGATCTGGCTCAGTTAGCCAGGAATCTCCAAAACAAAAAAGGAATTTTTCAGTCCTTTTATGTGGAAAGCCCATTTTCCTCTCATCATTGTTTTTCTTTGTTGGTGGGTTTCTATGGAGCCTTTCAGAATCTTATTTTGAAAGCCTCTGTTCCATTTTCAGTGTATTTCTTCTCACCCCCTGGCTGCTGTTGCTCCCACCTCTCATCTTTTTGGCACTAGAGCTTTCAGGTGCTTCCTTTGGGTTTGATGAATTACACAATGCTGAGTATTTCATATGTTCCCATTTGCCAGAAGCTATTTGCTACCCAGAAGATAACGATCGCCAATATAACATAAATTATAAAATATGTTTTCAGTTTAGAAAGTACCATCACGGGCGCCTGGGTGGCTCAGTGGTTTAAGCCGCTGCCTTTGGCTCGGGTCATGATCTCAGGGTCCTGGGATCGAGTCCCTCAACGGGCTCTCTGCTCGGCAGGGAGCCTGCTTACCTCTCACTCTCTCTGCCTGCCTCTCTGCCTACTTGTGATCTCTCTCTGTCAAAGAAATAAATAAAATATTTAAAAAAAAAAAAGTACCATCACATAAATTATTTTATTTGATATTCAAAACAACTCCATTAGTTGGATTAGGCAAGATTAAAGAAGTATGACATGCTCCAAGTAAATGGAAACACCAGGCAGCAAACCTGTGCTCTTTTAGAAACAGCCTCCCCCATGGGGCACCCAGGTGGCTCAGTTGGTTGAGCATCTGACTCTTGATTTTGGCTCAGGTCATGATCTTAGGGTTGTGGGGTCATCAGGTTCCATGCTCAGCAGGGAGTCTGCTTGGGATTCTGTCTCTCTCCCTCTCGCCCTCCCCATCATGCTCTCTATCTCTCTCAAATAAATAAATATTTATTTATTTTTTATTTTTTATTTTTTTTAAAAGAAGGGCCACCTGGGTGGCTAAAACAGTTAAGCATCTACCTTCAGCTCAGCTCAGGTCATGATCCCAAGGTCCTAGCTTACCCAGTGGGGAGCCTGCTTCTCCTCCTCCCTCTGCACACGCCCCTTCCTGTGCTGTCTCTCTGCTTTCTCTCTCTCAAATAAATAATCTTTTTAAAAAAACAAATAAAAATTTTTTCAAAAGAAACAGCCTCTCTTTTTCTCTTTAATTTGTGTAGAAGACTTGTTTTGGAATATGAAATCACTTTAGGAAGAAGGGAGAGGCTGTGAAACTAGCTTATATCTGACATGTATAGTGTGGCTCTAGCGGGGCTTTTCCTTCGACCCTTTTCTCTCTCTGGAGACAGGACTACGCTGACACAGAGCTCTTGCTTTCCCGGGAGAATGTGGACCAAGAGGCTCTGCTGAACTATGCCAGGGAGGCGGCTGACTTCTCCACTCAGCAGCAGCTGCCTTCTCTGGATTTTGCCATCAATCACTATGGGCAGCCTGATGTGGCCATGTTCGACTTCACTTGTATGTACGCCTCTGAGAATGCTGCCTTGGTGCGGGAGCAGAATGGACACCAGTTACTAGTGGCCCTGGTTGGGGACAGCCTCCTGGAGGTGAGTGGTAAGGGTGGCAGCGCTTTATAGTAGAGGCAGTAGTAAGGAAGCAGTGATAATGAGGAACAATGGGAGTATCCCAGGTTGCAGAGCGAGTGCCTACAGCATGGTGCAGCAGAGGTAGACTCCCTGCAGAGATACCCCAGGAAGTAAGGAGGTTGCTCACTATGGATGGAAGCTCTACAGCTTTTGTGATTTGTTCTGCCGGTTTATGAACAGTTGCCAAACAGTACCGTCAACAGCAGACTTTCTCTCTTAGTTTAGTTTCCCTCTATTGAAAGGTAATTTATTTTAATTCTTTGTTTTCTGTTCCTTCATAGCCTTTTTGGCCAATGGGGACAGGAATAGCCCGAGGATTTCTAGCTGCTATGGACTCAGCCTGGATGGTACGAAGTTGGTCTCTAGGAACAAGCCCCTTGGAGGTCCTGGCCGAGAGGTAATGGGAAGTAGCCACGGGTCCCTTTCACGGGAGTGATGAGTGGTTTGCTCCTCACGCAGAGTACAGGTTTTCTTCCTTCTCTCTCTCTCTCTCTCTCTCTCTCTCCTGCTTTCTTAATTAAAGATGTTTTCATATTTAAGAGAAGAAAAGCAAGATAATGATTAATAAAGTCATAGATATGTAAAACTATCTAATTTAAGTGCTCTTATTTCTTTCCAAATTAAATTTATTACTGACAAATGGTATCTGAATCTTTGTATTCCTTTAAGGAACAGTATCTGATTCCTTTATGGCAGTCACATGAACAAATACGTAAGCATAGTACATTAAATCTTCCCATCCTTAAAGTAGAAAGACTTGCACTAATGAAATCAGTATGGTAGCAGGGGACATACTAACATAAGAAAAGAAATACAAAGTGACTTTGGATTCAAAAGAAAACCCAAATTGCTTGCAAACATTTCTCAAACTTTCAAATGTCAGATATGTTGAAGGAGATTATTGCATATGAGGTAAGAGTCCTAGGATTTGTTTGCTAATAAAGAACAAATGCCTTGACCAGAAAAACTAGAGAAATAAGATTTCCTGGGTGTAGTCGGTGGTTGATAGCATTTTAAGTCTGTTATCTAAGGTACTCTGAGCAAGTTTAGTGGCAAGTTCTTTTTTCATCTGTGGTTTTTGTAAATATTGGCCTACTTGAAAAAACAAAAGAGTAAATTATTTGCCTTTTAAATTAGAATCAGGCTTTTTATCTCAACCCACCACCAGTAGCTTTTGCTACTGGTCCTCAACCAGTCCAGTGCCTGTGGAATCACTGGAGTAGTAGGAATGGGAGCAAGGGCTGATGTAGGTTTGGAGAAAAATGGCCAATGATGAGGACTTGTCATATCCTTCAGATTATTTGGGATATTGACAGAAAATAGGAATATTATCAAAGGAGAAGGAGATATGCATGCTGCTTGTCACTGCTCTGAGTAAATTGTTGTATGTTCTTGCAGAGAAAGCATTTATAGGTTGCTGCCTCAGACCACCCCTGAGAATGTGAGTAAAAACTTCAGCCAATACAGCATTGACCCTGTCACCAGATACCCCAACATTAACGTCAACTTCCTCCGCCCGAGCCAGGTAAGAGCCTTCTAGTCAGTTATCTACATCTAAGCCCATATTCAGGATGGATCAGGCCTCTGAAACACTGAAATATGTCTGTTAATACCGTATACATACACTTCTTTCATAATCCAAGTAGATGTCTCCCTGGAATGGTATCACTTTCCCTCAATAGATTGAGCAGCTAAGGGAGGGAGTTGTTGAATGACTTGCCAGAAGATCCCATGTGACCAAAATGGTGGATCCAGGACTTTCTCCGGGACTTTCTCATTCAAGCTGCATGTTGTAGGGGAGAGAGTACTTGCTCACTACTCAGGAAATGGAACTTCTTAAATTATTGCCGCCCATCACTTTGATGTGGATGTGTCATCCCGTCTTCTCTGAACCCCAGTTTCTTCATCAATAAAGTGGAGGTGATAGTCCTGCTATTCACGGGACCATTGTGAGGGCAAATGAGATTATTCACTTGAACAGACTGACTTTTGAAAATTAGTATCTTCTGTGCAAGTTAAAGATACTGTTGGTCAGTTCTGTTACACTGCTGAGTCATTTCTCACAATGTCTAAAGCCTTAAAATTGCATTGAGAATGACATTTGACAAAGCGCTATAATCCCAAAGAACCCAACAGTTTTTAGAAAGCGGTCCGTTCAACATATTTGCCTCTGTACTTGTATAATTTTTTATTCACTTTCTATCTGAAGTTTATGGCTCTAAGCCTTCTATATACCTCTATTTAAGGGGTCTGTGAGACCTGCTATCAATGGGCAGTATTAATGGTTCAATAGTAACTATCAAGGGGCCCTCCTTGGCTGAGTAGCTAATTTTTAGCACAACTTTTTTACACTAGTCTGTATTTGTTTACATGTAACCCCAACACATTCCAGAAAGGATTTAAAGGTCATTGTCATAGCTTTTATCTGAACTTTGCCCAACCTGCTATCTTAGTCTTTCATTTTGCTCTCAGGTGGGAACTTGTTAAGTACTGTTTGATTTTCCTTCTTAACTTTCTGCCAGGTGCGCCATTTATATGATACTGGGGAAACAAAAGATATTCATCTGGAAATGGAGAACCTGGTGAATTCCCGAACTACCCCAAAGTTGACTCGCAACGGTGAGTTCTGGCAATGACCTATTAAATGCGAGTACCCTATTCAGAGAAGTCTGTACTTACTGAGCTGGTAGTGCACACAGTACTGTATGAGGCCATGGTTCTCAACTGGGGTGATTTTGGCCCCCGGGGAACATTTGGCAGCATTTGCAGACATTTTAGATTGTCATGACTGGGGGAGGGTGCTAAACCTCCTATAGTGCACAGGTCAGCTCCCCACAACAAAGAATTGCCTAGCCAGAAATGTCAAGAATATCAGGGCAGAACCCAGAGAAATCAGGTATAAATGCTGTTGAGAGAGAGGAAGTGAGCACACATCCACACCAACTAAGGTTTCTTGGGGGAGACTTTAGGAAAAAATGGCATTTTAGCTGAGTACTACGACATTGCCAGGATACAGTTATGAGGGATAAAAGCCATTCCATATTTTGTGTTCACTGAAGGGCCCCTGTAGATTTTTTTTTAAATGAGAGCAGAATGAATGTACCTAGTCAGCTACATGGAAGATGGGATGGAGAAGGGAAATGCGAGAGGCAGGGCCACTAGTTAGAAGTACATTGTAGCAGTCAAGCTAACGGTGGTGAAGGCCTGAATCTGATGCTCATGTCGAGGACGGACAAGGGAGTGGAGCGTAGTTAGAAGAACTCTGACTTTGGAGCCAGGTGCAACTGTGTCCCAATCCAAGCTTTGCCATTTGTGAAATTTGAGGGCCAGAACAGGTTATTTTGCACCTCTGAACTTTGGTTTCCTTTTCTGTTAAATGGGCATAAGAAATAGCTACTTCCACCATGGTCACAAATGGCAGCCATTTTGTCATTGTCGTTATTCATCATGCAAGTGAGAGTATATTCTAGAGCCAGAATCAATAGGCATTGGCAGTTTGGTTGCATGGGTCAAGAGATGGTTGCAGATGGTGCCACCATCAGTTTGGACAAGGAAGCAGGAGGATAGAAGGTTTGAGTCTGTTTTGAGTTTGACATGTTATTGCAATATCAGGGTGGATTTCACAACCAACAGGCAGTTGGAAGCATTTTCGTCTGTGTCCACTCGGGTGTCATCTACTTGAAAGCAGGCAGTAAACCTTTGTCACTATCATTTTAGAGCCTGGAATGTTGAAGTTGCCCAGTACATGTTGGGTTGGTGGAAAAACAGATTTGGGAGACATCTGAACAAAGTTAATTTCTGAAGTAAATTTCTGATTTATGATGATAACAGCAGGAGTATTTCTCTGTATAGTTTTAGAATAAATTTTCACTGAAAAACTTAAATGAAACAGGGTTTTTATGATATACAGTTTTTATCTTATGTTCCCAAGTCACTAAATGACTTCATACAAGATTAGATATTTCCAGCTGCCAAAGGTAAGAGAGAGCAGACATTCTTGGACACAAATAGGAATTCACAGATTCTTCTAAATGCTCCATATCAGAGCTCCTCTGATGCAGTTAAGAAAAATGGACTTTTAGAAAGGCCATCCGTGTTTAAGAAGACACAGCGGTGAACTGAAAACATCCAAGTGTATGTGTTGATGTGTTCTCTTTTTCAAGTTGTGATCATTTATGATATGGAGTGCCAGTTCTGGCCTGGGGGACTGTTCTGGTCCAGGGTCTTTGACCTTGCCAGTGTAATCCTACAGAGTTTCTTCATTTGCCAAATCACTCTGTACCCTGGAATGTTTAAGAGTGGGCTTTGCGCATTATTGGTTTAATGTATTGCTAGAGAGAACAGACTCTTTACTGCTCTACTCCTCCCAGTATAATTTGAAGGGAAGGAGCTTCTTCAGCTAGCTGCCAAGCCACGCTTCTAGACCTTCTGTAGGTGGGGTAACAGGTCAGTAGATGGTGCCCTTCCAGCTAAGTCAGTATCCAAGAGTGCTGCAGGGACCCCGGGCTTCCGGACCAGCAGATCCAGATCATTCCTCTTGTGACTTACCATTCTGTTAGAGGGACTGGTGTTGACATCAGATACTGGGTAAATTCGGTAGTTTCTTATCTACCTAAAATTCCACTATTGTGATACCAATTACATAGCTTTTTATTTTTGAAAAACAGTGATAACTGTTTTGTTCCTGCCTTTAGTAAGTTTTAAAACCGATATGTGTACTATAAGGAGGATCCTACATCAATGCTACCAGGTGACCACACTTCTGATGATGTTTTTGTTTTTGTTTTAGAGTCTGTAGCTCGTTCAAGCAAACTGCTGGGTTGGTGCCAAAGGCAGACAGATGGCTATGCAGGGGTAAATGTGACAGATCTCACTATGTCTTGGAAAAGTGGACTGGCCTTATGTGCGATCATCCATAGGTACCGCCCTGATCTGATGTAAGTTGTGACAAACTTTGTGTTTCATTTTGTATTTGCTCAGGACCTCAGAGTATTTTGCTATCAGGTAGCCAAATTTTGCATTTCTTCCTAGAATGAGATACATAGCAAGATACTTTTTTCTAGGAAGCAGTGATTAATTTCAAGTTAGTTATATTTAAAACTTGTGTCAAGCATCGTGTAGCTGAATCCAGCTGAAGTTTTAAAAATCACAGCACTCAGAAGGTCAAAAACTGGTTTTAATACCCACCTGGGCCTATTAACATCACACAAAGGAAAACTCTGTTTATTGGCCCCAGGTTGAACTCTTCATTTCGGCCAGCTATTTCCCAGATGCTGGTGGTCATAAGGAAAACCTCACTAGAACATTTGGCTGGCTGAAGGCAAATATGTCACTACCAACAAACTCAAAAGCAGTGAATACTTACCCAGTTTATCATGGTTCATTGGTATTTTCTCTGTTAAGAATTGTGCCTTTTGCAAATATACTATGCCCAGGCCCATAAGATTCAGGCTACCTTACTCGCTTATATCAGTGACACCCTCTCTTTTGGCCATTCTTTACTCACCTAAATGCAAAATCACTACAATAGGATGACCCCAGGTCAACTACAGAGACCAGTGCCTTCAGATTTCCCCCATAGGCATTCGTTACCATGGAAGCCAAACAGGAAGATCCAGAAACAGAAGAAAAGACTGTTGAATTATTTTGGCTGCCTGTCCTTTTCATTAGGGCCCAAATTTGTGCATTTGCTTTAATGATTGCTTAAGGAAACCTAAAAAACATAGTTCCTGTTTATATTAGGTTATAAATTAATAAGGCCAGAGCTACTAGAAATAGCCTTACATATATGATTTTGGAATAAGAATTTCTGATTTATTTAGATAAAGCTAAGTGATCTCCAGTGCTCCTGTCCCATAGGTAATGCAGAGGTTGGTAAATGAATGTAGGGCCCCCCCACCCCCCATCAAGAAAGGACAGGAGAAGAAAAAGGAGTAGTTTGAGAAGGATTGTGATGAATGGCAGAAGACTGGGTGAATCTGTTCTCTTCCAAAGGGAAGGCAGGAAAGAAAAGGAAATGGAGGCAAAAGTAGCTGAAGGGAAGCTAGCAGGTGAGATGGGGGGTGGTAGAGGGAGAAGGCTGCCTGCAGAAGGTCTAGGGAAGTTCCATGTAACAGAACACAAAGCAGTGGGGGTAGGTGATTTGGCACCGTTTAGACTACAATGACGTCATTCAGGAGGAGGCCTTCCTGGTTTAATAGACTTAATCTATAAAGAAAAAGCATTTAGAAAAATGAAAACCTTGCTACAGAGTCAGTAGAAGGTTAACACAAAATAAGGCCTGCCAGTTGATCTGAAATCACCCCTTAAAGAAGAATGGTCTCGGTCTTTACTTCATCAAATGGCAAGAAGTTTGAGACACAGCGGGAATTTATTTAAGTACTTGGGAAAACTTGGGAAATTTAGCCTCAGAAACATCTTTTGAGGAAGGTTTTGGTATTTCCCTTCACGTAGAAGGCTGAATAAGATTTACCAGAGCTGATTTAGTGCATCAACAGCTCGTCTGGTCCAAATGACACAGCGAGTAATAGTCCTAAGTCTTTAGAAGCAGTCTGATCCAAATAGGATATTCATCATTATTGAGCATTAGTGTAATATGTACAGATCACATACGAGGTACAAGAGGATACATATTAAAGATAGTTCCTATTCTTGGGCTTACCTTTTAGTAAGAAGTTTACATTATTGGGAAAATGAGAGTAGTTCTTCAACTTTTCCCTCCTTTTTTACTTTCTGGGTAGATCTTTAGTCATTTCTTCTCCTTGAGGATGATTTGCATTTTATTGGTGTAAGGGAGGAGACCAAAAGGTGAGAAGATCAGGTTGGCTCTCAAATTGCAGTAAACCCCGCACCCTGGATTTTAGCTGAAAGACGAAGGAAATGATGATGACTCTACTGATACTGTGTTTTCTGGCCTGAGGATAAGCAACCCTTCTCATGTTTTTCTCCTTCTGTTTTTCTTAGAGATTTTGATTCTTTGGATGAGCAAAATGTGGAGAAGAATAACCAGCTGGCCTTTGATATTGCTGAGAAGGAACTGGGCATTTCTCCCATCATGACAGGCAAAGAAATGGCCTCAGTGGGGGAGCCTGACAAGCTTTCTATGGTGATGTACCTGACTCAGTTCTATGAGATGTTCAAGGACTCACTCCCCTCCAGTGGTAAGGGCTGGCGGGCACGGGTATGGAAGGCCTCCATTTTTTCTGTATTTTCCTGGCTTTTCTTTCTTCCCTTCTAACCACGTCCTTCGTTAGTACCACCAGAAGCAAACCTGCACTTACTCTGTATTATTATTGGTTGGCAATCTGGGTAAGGCCCTGGGACTTTGCTCCATTATTTTTTCCTTCTTAACTAGTATGTTCTCAGCCATTATTTCTTTCCCCAAATCTTTCTCACTAAGCCTATGAGTTTGCAAAAATCATTCCTTTACAAAATGTTTTCCTTGACTCTACTACTTCCTTATACCCTTCCTCTCAGAGCCAGCCTTTTTAAAAAAAGTGGTTTGTTCTAAGTAGAACCTCTGCCTCCTAAGGCCTAAACTTCGCAACACTTTGCAACCCGGCTTCTTCTTTTTTTTTTTTAAGATTTTATTTATTTGACAGATCACAAGTAGGCAGAGAGGCAGGTAAGGGGGGGGGGAAGCAGGCTCCCTGCTGAGCAGAGAGCCTGATGCAGGGTTCAATCCCAGGACCCTGGGATCATGACCTGAGCTGAAGGCAGAGGCTTTAACCCACTGAGCCACCCTGGCACCCCTCGGCTTCTGTTTTAACTGTTCTGCCAAAAACTATTCTTTACAGTCGTGAAGAATCACCCAATCTGCATTCTTTTCTCATTTTGCATCTCTCACTCACTTGGCTTTTCTGCATTATTTAGCACTATGGAATGGTATTCTTTTTCTTGAAATTCTCTCTTCTCGTTGGCCTCTGTGGTCCTGTACTTGTTTGCTTCATTCTCTTTCTTCTGTAACTGTTCCTTCTCTGGCTTCTCTCTCTTCTCCAACCTTTTAGTGTTTTTCAAAGTCTTTGGCCCTCAGCCTGCTGCCTCAGTCTACCAAAATGCTACCAAAAAATATACCTGTTATCATTTATTGTCCCTCAGAGTAAGTCAGTACACATATTGCTTTAGAGTGTTGACCATGGTACCCAACCTGGATTTACTTCCCAGTACTTGCACCTGTTTGACCTTAGGCAAGTCACTAAATTTCCCTGTGCCTCAGTTTCGCCATCTATAAACTGGATTTTATGTACATATAACATAAAACTGATGAGCTAAGGAGAGTGTTTGGCAAACAGTCATTTAATATCAGCAGTATATTATTAATTTTGATTACTTTTTAAATTACTGTTGTTACTAATAAAACATTATAATCCATAGAGTTTGTGGTTCCACAGTGTGTACTCTTACAGATGTCCATAGCTTTTTCTGATCAGATATGCAGTTCTTACAACAGGAATCCACAACTCTCAAATCTGTTTAGGGAGAGCCTGTTTAGGGAGAGCCTTCCTGTTATGTGTGCCTGTGTACATGGTTGCCTGCATCATCAAAGCCAATGACCCTGAGCTATGTATCCTTCCTCCCTTTCTCCCTCTACCTTGAAGTTTTTGTCACGACAGTGAGGCTTTAGCAGTCTGTTGTAACTAACAATCATAGGCAGATTCCAACGTTTGAAAAGCAAAAAGTGGAGGGTTTTGTGACTGCAATGGATTGGAAAGAAGAGTTGGTTCTGTTAACATGGATGGAAAAGAAAGCTCAACATCCAGACCATAGTGTGCATTTCTTTATTGAATTTTCCACTGAGTTCCTCTTGCTTTTGTCAGAGCAGATGAACCTTTAAAGTTTTCTGGGGTTCTCTGAGCCACCTGCAAGGAGTGTAGTTCTGGTCAGTACTTTGAAGCCCCCTCCAGGGCTGTGCTCAACATTGCTTCCTGTTCACAGATGCCCTGGACCTGAATGCCGAGGAGAAAGCAGTTCTTATAGCCAGCACCAAATCCCCCATCTCCTTCCTCAGCAAACTTGGGCAGACCATCTCTCGGAAGCGTTCTCCCAAGGTAAATAGAGGAGGTTTTTGACCTGCTACAAACCTACAGGTGAGGTATGGTGACTAGGATAATGCAGTCTCCCTCCTCTCTTGATATAGGATAAAAAGGAAAAGGACTTGGAAGGTGCTGGAAAGAGGAGAAAGACCAGTCAATCGGAAGAGGTAAGATTTAGCTGGGATTTGCTAGAATGGTCATACTGAATTGCCCATTGGGGCTGAAATTAATTTCCAAATTGATATTGCTAGATCTTTTCATATTCATTTTTATGAGAATTTCTGTGAGCAGCTGCTTTTTCAGTAGGCTTTTGCCTTTGTACAGTGTTTTGGAGAGCATCTAAGGAAGCATACACACACGTGTGTGCACTAGTGCTTTCCTCTCTCTTCAGAATTTTACATTTTGCCGGGGGCAATGGCTTTCTTGAGATAGGACAACACCAGCCCAAGTCCAGGTACCTCTTTATACTGCCCCATGCACCAAAGTCTTGCTGACTGCCTCTGGAGTTTAGAACCTTGAAGAGAGCTGTTAAGCTTAACCTAAAGCAAAAATAGCAGCTGCCATGCCAGGCACTGGCTGCACTCCTTTGAGGGAAGGGCATCTGTGGGGGACTTCTCTAACCAAGGCCGGTTCTTGGGTGTTGGTGTTTGTCAGGAGGATGTGCCCCGTGGTTACAGAGGAGGAAGGCCCACACTGGTGAGCACCCTGACAGACAGGAGGATGGATGTGGCCCTTGGCAATCAGAACAAAGTGAAGTACATGGCGACCCAATTGTTGGCCAAATTTGAAGAGAATGCACCCCCACAGTCCACTGGTATGAGGAGACAGGTAAGCCCCACTTCGTATCTCACCCATCCATGCTTGGTCTGGCCATATAAGAAGGAGGGATCTTCTCAGTCAAATGAAGTGGGACAGGGTGTGTCTCAGCCGAGCACTCACACCCTCATGACTGTGTCTGGTTTTCTCCTTGTCTGACTGTGGTGGAGAAAAGCTTTTGATAAGCTCCTCCCATGCTTTCAGCACTGCTTTCTCCTCACCATTCATGTCTGAGGTGTCTGTGGCAAAAATTCAGAAGAGGGATTTGAAGTTTTATAAATATCTATACATATTTATATGCTCACATATGTGCACAAGTTGAATTATTAAAGAGATAGATGCTTACTGAGGAAAATGCTGGAGAGAATAATAAAGGTAATCAAAACACCTCTAATTCTGTTAACATTTTTTTGTATTTCTTTCTCGTCTGTTTTCAGTGCATTTTTGTTTTTATAGTTGAGGTCATTTGGAAGATACACTTTCTGTTCTGCTTTGTTCGCGTAACATTGGGCATATTCCCATGTTGTTCCAAACTCTACAAGCATCTTCCGATCCATGTATGTCCGTGCTTTTCTTAACTCTTCCTCTGGTGTTGGATGTTTTTGATGTTGTTCATCTTTCATGATGAAGTATAAAGATAAAAAATGTTCTTGTGAGAAATCTTCTTTTGTGTATTGTGGATGGTTTTCGTAGGCTATCCTTGAACTAGGTCAGGAATTATGAACATTTTAAAGAGTCATCATGGGTACTAACTTGAGAGTGCTAGACAGAAGCATTTGACTTGAGATGTCTTTGTTAGGTCTTCCCTCCCCTCTTGCTTATTTGAAAGTCACTAAGACTTCTTATAAGAGGAGGTGCTAGGATTTGGAGTAAGTGCAGGAAGTTTCTTACAGAGCTCCCAGTGACCTGAGAGAACATCCAAAGGAAAGGGAGCCCATTCTTTTTATTCTTTTACTCTCTTTCTTCAGCTTTTTCCATACATATCAGCCATTGTTCTAAGGACCAGGGGTGAGGGGGGTACTGACTTTGCTTGGAGTCTGGCCAGAATTAACTTCTTCTCACATTTAGCCTTTGGTTATTAATTTTTACACTCCAGTCATATGTATTGTGGCTCATAGAGAGGAATAATACTGTTCATTGGTAGACGTCTGAGGTTGCCTGGCAGCTCTGGCAACTGTGGGATCTGCCCCATCTCAGGAGGTTTGGAAAGCTCTCCTTGGGAGGAAGTTTGCCCCTAAGAGCAGGTTGTGTTCCTCATTTTGAGTAGAAAGTTTAGTTTTCCAAACCAGAATTAGTAGTTTAGGTTCAGAGCTTTGAACTAGGGAAGAGGAGAGTGAAAATTACAGCTTCTGATTTCGTTTTTTTCCTTTTGTATTTGCTTTTGGTTTGTGGGGTTGGGTATTTTGTTTCCTTTGTAAATGTAACTTTCTAAGAATTAATTCTGTGTCTGTTCCCACTCCCCGCTCATATATGTGTGTCTGTCCACCGTTATCTTTTTTGTGTCTTCTCCTACCTTAATGTATTTTATTTTGTTTTGTCTCCATGTCCTGTCCCCCACCCATACTTGGCCTGTGTGTCACAGCCGACACAAGAGCGTTGGGTCAGCCAGCCGTCCTGCTGCCTACCTGAGCAGGGTCGCCCTGCTCCCACCCCCCAGTGGAAACAGGTAAAGGAGCTGTCCAGGGGCCAAAAATGGGTGCTGCTTCCCTGGGCCTTCCCAACCTGCTCATCCCTCAGCCAGCCAGGGCTGAGGCCTACACTTTAGAATCCTGGCTCCCAAGGACAGGAAGCTTTTGTACTCATTTGAGTAGCAGCTTTGGGGAACAGTTTAACAGACAGTGCTGATTGTATTGCATGATTTGTTTAACTCCTTGGGATTTGAGAAATTAGTTAAAAGAGTGGGTGGTAATTTGGTGTTGAAACTAGCTGAAGCTCTGTGGGAAGTTGTTCCAGGTACCTTAGCTTCTCTGCTTTACCACTGTAACCTTTGACCCAAGTTGACTTTTTACTTACATATGTCCTTGTAACTAATGGAGGGAGAATCCTGAACTCAGCAAGGCTGAGAATTGGGGCAGTGGAGCCTTTCATGTTAAATAGGGAAATGTTAGCCAAGAAATATCTTGAACTATGATTTTTATTTGTTTCAGACCCTCAACAGAGATGATCATGGGCATTTTCTTGGCGTTTTGTCTCCATTTAACATACACCTTGAAAATTTTCAAAGTAAAGTTTTTACAAGATCTCCTAGAAGGCTGCGTCTAAGCAGTATTGGATAGGACAGAAGAAGTGAGTGGAGGGATGTCAGCTGATTGATAATAGGAAACCCTTCGGTAGCATTGGGGCCTCTACTGTATTTTCTCCCAAGTCACAGTTGAGCAAGGTCCTGCTCTAGTAAGTGTAGCCTGGATTCTCTGTCTTGTGGTTTGGTATCATCTAGGACTAAGATTCTGAGAGGTCAGGTGAGCTGACCCTTGATTTCTTCTTGTGCTATAGAGTGCCAGCTGTTGCTGGGAGGTGCTGGGGAGTGGCAAGTGGATTTTATTTGAATTACATTCAGGACAAAAGTTCCTTTCTAACCTCTTTTAAATAATATGCCACATTAAAGGCAAGCTCCAGGAGGCTGAGATGAAAGCTGGAGAGAGAAGTTCACACTCACAACAGAAGCCAAGCTGCTTCTTCCTCTGTATTTGGAGGACGTCTTCTGGAAAACAAACAAAACTCATTGGAAAATCCGTTTTATTTTCTTACCCTTTGCCTTGAAGTGTAGGTGGAATGTATGATTTGAAAGGTAATTTTTAGTTGAGGATCTGCTGAAGGAGGAAGTGAACTCTAGATACCCCCAAACTCTAGATTCTGACAGTATTCATCAAGGTCACCTGACATAGGAAGAGCAAAGGGGAAGAGAAGTTAATTTTAACACGTGTAGTGGATGAACAGATGACTTTAAATGTCACATGCCCAGAGCAGCTTTGGTTTGGCTTGCTGGGAAGTCTCGAGGGTAGTAAGTGTGACCGAGGAGCCTGGCTCAGCCAAGCCTCTGTCCAGGTGAAGAGTGGCATGTCAGCTCATCACCTGATGGAGCTGTACTGAAGGGGCATCAGTAGCTTGGTGTTGGTGGGCCTGCTTGTGTTTCCCCTGTTTATGAAGTATCTGATGGCCTCTGACCTTGTGCACGGTGCTACATGGAGACATAAAAGCTAGGTTGTCATCTGGGTAATTTATGAAGTAAAATATTGCTAGGCTCTACAGGCAGCAGAATAGAGCCCTTGAAGTCAAACCTGGCTTCTGTGGAGTGGGCACCAGAGATTACAGTTGGAAGGAGTATCTGGGTAGATCTTGGTAAGTGAAAAACGATGAGCCGTGAAAATCCTATTATATCGTTGCTGGATAGAGTTGGAAATTGTAAATTTACTTCGTTGTGAAAGAACTGTAACTCACAGTTACATGTAATTTTTCCTCAATACTAAATCAGGGATGGCATTATGAGTCTTGGCCCTGTCAGTTTATCTCCTAAGAGAACAGGAACATGCTGGTGCTCCAGAAACATGGGAACAGAGGAACTCCGGTTGTGTGCTCCAGTGGCCCTCTGCTCCTGACTCATCCTGATGATGGCCTTCATTAGCTCCCTTTAGGAATGAGGGGCTTACCAGCCAGACCTTACAGTGACTCACTTTCTGTTTCTCTTGAAGAGGTTTGACTTGAGGCAGGAGGGTGTGGCAAAGCAATCACTGGTGGCTGAGGTGGCATGAGGATCAGTTTTAACTTCGGTCATGGATGGAAGAGGGAAAATGAATAATAGTTGGCTTGCCAGTGGCTTCTCTTTTTTACCTTCCTATGTAAATAAACACTTTGGCTCTTCCCTCCCCACCCCTCTGCCATTTGATCTCAGAAATGGGTCCAGCAGGCAAACTCTGCATATTAACCAGTCTTGGTTTGGAAGTAAATTGTCGTGAGAGGTGGGAACAAACCGGGGGTGGGGGGCTGTTTCCCCGGGCCCTACAAGCTCCACACCTTCTTCTCCCTCCTGGGCTGCCCCTGTGTGCTGCCCCACACGGTCATTGTGGGCATGAGGAAATGGAGGATTCCTCTGGTCTGGAAATAAGTAACTGTTTCTTAAGCACCGAAAAGTTCTGTAAGTCACAGATGTACAGGAAGGGAATACAATGGAGAGGGGGAGAATGGGGAAATAATCCATGGATATATATGGTATTCGGTTAGTGACAGATGTACTTATTTTCTTATATTCTGTTTCCTGTACTTTATTCTATCTCCCTGGTGGTTTTCCAGAACCTTTTAAGTACACTCCAGAGGCTGAGGAGAGGGAAGCCATGGCAGGGTGTTGTCTCGGTTGGCACTCAGGGAGCATGCTGCTTTGCTGCTGGTGGGTGTACAGGTGACTGAGCCCTTGGGGGCCGGTCTCCACACTCCCCTCATGATGGTCGGCCTTTGTGCCCTTTCTCTCTACCTACATCCAAGCTCATTTCTTCTATCCTCAACTTCCCTCATAAAACCAACAAAGGATATATCCTTGATCCCTGGCGTTTAGAAAGTGTTACATGCAAGTTCTGTCCCAAGACCAGCTGCAGAGATGACCCATGTGGTCTGCACTTATCAGACAGCGCAAGTATGGCCTGGAGGCCAGTTGCTGACTGTGACCAGCCATCTTTCCTGACCACACAGCGATTGTCATGGAGGACAGAGAGGCACGGGAGGGATGTCTTTGGTAAATGCTCTTAATCCTTCCAGAACCAGCCTAAACGTGGCCCCTGTTTCATCAATGTTCTCTCTATTTGTGTCTGTTGGTGTAAAAGCGACGGGAAAAGGAGCGTTCTCGGACCTGCCCCAAAAAAGTGATCACGCTCTCTCCTCCCCCTACTCCACCTCCCTGTCGGGTGCGTGGCAGCCAGCAGGTGATCCTCTCTGCATGCTCCGTGGTCCTCGTCTGTCTTCCTGCCTGCCTGCCTGCCTGCCTGCCTGCCTGTGTAGGTGGCTAGGGTGGAGACCAAATCAGG